GGAAGACCGTTAAACCCCCATGTGCTTATTATGAAATGTAAAAAATATAATTTGGTATTTGTGCATACACACAGAATGCTTCTTTTGTATTTGACATGGTTGTCAAAATAATTTTATGGGCAAAATTCAAAATAATTTACTATATTAATTTAAAAGGAAGGAATCACTTATAATATACATTGATAAATAATTTTAAAATAAATTTAATGTTGATGATGCTACATATATTAAACTAGAAATGGGAGATAATTTTCTTGGTGTGATTTAGAACAAAAAAGAAACCTGTAGTGAGCATTACTCTTAGTCAGAAAATATAATAGTAAGACAATCTCACTGGAGATAAAAAAGATGAAAATAATAACTTTCCTCACTCCTAAACTTGTGGGGTGTTAGACAATGTATATGTGAAAATGAAAGTAAAGGTATAAGGCTTTGAAGAAAAGAAGTAAATTGATTACTATTTATAGACAATGTTAAGGAACTTTATAAATGCAAAATATTGTAATGAAAATTCTGAGAACAAGCAAGTTCGTTCACCAGGACAACATGTATGCATTTTTATATATGAAAATAATGTTCTAGTTACAATGAGTAGAAAATAAAATTCAAGGCATACTACTTACAGTACATCAAATCATTAGATATGAAATAACCCAATAAAGGATTTGCCCAACTTTTATCTTAAAATTTCAAAGTTTATTGGGAGAAATTTAAGATGACCTAATAGAATCAAGAGATAAGCTATGTTTACGTATTAGCATACTTAATGAGATAAGATTGTCTAATCACTTAAATCAGCAATGAGCTCAAATTTTCTAAAATGTAAATATTGCATATAAAACCTTACATAAAAATAAAAATAGCAAAAAATAATTACAGATAATTAAAGTAGAAATAACCAAAAATGTTGGATTGAGACTACCCTAAAACAGTGTTAACATAAAACTGTAATAATTAAGAATAAGGCTGAATTAAAGCAAAATGGGAAAACATGCAATGGAACAGAATGCAGAGGCCAGAATTAGACTAACACAGATACATTTGCCCTGCATGACTCAGCACTAAGGACCAGTGCTTAACTAAATAAGTGTTTCTGAGTGAAGCATCTAATCTCGTAAAATACACCTTGATCTTACCTTCCACCCATACAGATAAGTTCTATATACTTTACATAGCTAAAGATGAAAAGTGATGAATTTTTCAAAAGTCATCTACACTATATTTGATAATATTAGTAAACATACAAATTACCAATTTCTTACTCCAGCTTCAATCATGGTCTTCACTGCCTACCGTACAAAACACGAATGAACTAGCTCGATGAACAATTTTTTCCTTCACAACGACAGGATGCTAGTCTTGGCCAGTAGAGGATGCTGCAGGGACGATTGTGGAGGAGATTCTGAATCTCTGCTGGATCCTCACCTCTGCCATGCAGTACTTGTTCAGAGACAAGTATTGCAGATGTTTAGTGGCAGTCATCCATCCAACCCCATCAGTGGGCCTGTGGCTTCATGAATCCTGCAGTCACTCTAGTTGTGGTCTCCCCAACCATAATCTCTCTGCGCAATGGAGGCATAATTCCAGTTTATTAGTCAAGGCTGTGTCTTCTCTATCAATCTATGCTATAAGACAGGGCTATCTGGTTGTCACCCCCAGCTGTTTTCCTGCATGATCCTTCCTTCTTCCTGACCCTTAAAGGGGGCCTGGGTTGCTAACCTTGATTCACCTGTTCCACACAGGACTGGTTCTGCTGTTGTTTGTCTTTCTCCCAAAGTAACTGTGTCAGTCAGGCAGTGAAGTCCAAGCTGCAAGTTACAGAAGACTTCATCCTCTTCTGAAGTTTTCTCCTTTTAATATTTTTTAATGCTAGTGTAATATTTAGTTATTTTTATCTCACTTTATGGATAATCTCTGACAAAGCTAATAGCTTACTTATATAAGCTTATCTTAACACTATAAAAATGATTGTGTAGTTTCTGTCTCCAAATTCTATCCCCAAACAAATAACATAGAAGGTAGTTATTTTATAAAGTGTACTAAAATGTAAGCAAGTTTATATATTAACCTTCATTTAAAATTAAGACAATTTTCACTTTTATTACATATATATATTTATCTATCTAATATTTATTGGGGTGGGTATGTATTCATATTGTGTGTGTGGAAGTCAGAGGACAGCTGTCAGCCTTCGTTCTCTCCTCCCACTTTTGGGTCCTGGGGATTAAATTCATGTCATCAGGTATGTCAACAAGTGCATTTGCCAGCTGAGTTGGTAAATGCTGGGCCATCTTGTCAGCCCCAAAATTAAGAACAATTTTGATTACCAAATATATCACTAAAGGAATACCCACAGAACAGAAAATATGGTAACACATATATCTCACATAATTTCCAGAGTCACAGGCCTATCGCGATTCTCTCCACACTGCTTCAACCTACTGCTTGAAACCGAGAGATTTAAAAACCATGGATTTTTCAAAAGTCTTAGTATTTATTGTACGCCAGGTTCTATGATTTAAATACATCTAGCAAAACCAATTCCATTTATTTAATTTTTTATTTTTTTTAATTTAATAACCTTTATGTGTATGAGTGTTATGCCTGCATATAAACGAACCTGTGTCATGCAGTACCCACAGAAGACAGAAGAGGGCGTCAGATCCCCTGGAACTGTAGTTACAGACAGTTGTTAGTTGCCATGTGGGTGCTGGGATTCAAACCTGGT